TGATCGATTTTTTCGTCGCTACCATCATCGATGTTTCTTGCTGATTCCACAAACCTGATGGATATAAATAAAACTAACATCTGGTGGTGGATTTGTTTGGTTCGGTGCTACCTAGAAACATCAGCAATAATCCTTGATGGATGTGTGAACTGCTGAAGGACGATGACTTACCGGACTTTTTGCCGTTTCAACTACCTGCTTCTCTTGAAGCTATTTTCCATTATTGCCTTAAACGGACTGCCAATTTGATACTCTTTTTATGCACATTTTACTCAAATTAAGATAGCTTGTAATAATGTGGAAGAAGAAAACTTTACAAATTTTGAGTCAAAAAAATTTCCTCTTTTCTCATGAGATAATAATTAATTAGGATCAGATCAGCGCAGATGCTCGTTGAGTCCAGTTATAATCAGCATAATAATTTATGATTCCTTTAAAGGTGCCGAAAAGTGTCGTAATACGAGAGGTACATCGACTTTAATTGCAATTTCTGCCTCTGCTAATTAAATAAAATATTTATAACTTCACATGTTTAGCCAATTATGCAACAATTTTTTATGCGTTTGAAATAAAATTCGACATTGTTTTTCCACATAATTTAATAGTTTTAATAGTAAAAAACAGCGAGTGTAACCTAAGTCAGTCCCTCATAAGTCATCTTTTGCATACAAAAGCAAAGTTACAAACAACATAAATAAAAATAATCTGATTTACAACATATACACATGGATAAAAAAAAATTTTAAATTTATATAAAAAATTAATTTAACCCTGGTTTACCCAATCTGTACAAGGATAAAATTACGAAATATTTACAAATTATCTACAAAAATGAATCTACAAGCTGCCAATGTCGTTAAAGCGTTTCAACTTCTCTGGGAATGGATCTTTGAATAATACAGGATCTGCTCGAAATTCGACCGATTTTAAAGGCATGCGTCCGAAAGCTTTCACAAATCTATCCACACATTGGGACCTCTCTATCATATGACCTTCGTCGGCCGACAACATTTCATTATTGACACATTCCGGACATTTGAACTTTTTTCTTGGAGTAACCTAAAACCGAAATATAACCATAGTCAAAAGCGCAACTTATTTATTTACCTTAATCGGCGGCTTATTCGTAACATTTGCAACTAGAAAATTCATGGCAATGTCTTCACAATTCATGTGCTCGTCTACCAATTCGCGAATATTTGCTGGCATTGCTGTAGTATACAAGAAACTCCAATATTTGTGCAGGAAGGCTGCACCTGTGAGAACCATTGATATCTCGTTAGTCCATTCCGATTCATATTTCCAGCTGTTGGTAACATTGTCCCATCTATGAGTACGACTGGGAAAGCCTACAATCCTGTCTGGAAATTCCCTCCAAACTTCAAAACCAAACTCGACTTCGTCTGCAGTCAACATTACGATATCATCATCGATATGCAAAATGGCTTCAGTTTCGATCTCATTATACGGATAAAATCTATTTGATAATTTATTGGCACTTGTTTTAATAACTTTGACTGGTTTCTGTATTTGAGGAAACGAAGATACTGAAAAAAAAAAGATAGTAAAATTGTCTGATAATAATTTTTGCATACATGGCGGAGGATTTTTCTTTTGGTTGTTCCAAACGACGATAACTTTCATAAGACTAGGAACTCTTGATAACCTATCGATCAAAGTGTAAAGACTATCAATTCTATCATATGTTAAAATAACAGCAGTAAACCCGTGTGATTTCGGTGCCGTCAACGGCAAAAAAAGCGGATTTGTATTTTTCTCCTCTGGTCGAAGATTCCAATCGTCATAGATTTTCGACCAATGTGGATAAACCCGGTCTTGTATAATATCTAATGTTGTGAGTGCGATTTTCTCAATACTTGAGAAATACGAATCGTACAGAAATCGACCAGTCTGTTGCATTTGTTTAATACGCTGAGGAGAAATCTTCGTCAATACGTCCATTAAAGTGTGTAAATAATTTTCCATGATGAAAACGGCGGCTCGTTTCCAATCTATCACATTACTAAATGGCAACACTGCCCCGTCCATTACAATAACGGGAATACAATTGGCAGCCAATGCTTCTAATAAAGCAAATTGGCCTATTCGCTCGCCTCGAAAAACGAGACAAAATGTGCTATTTTGTAAAATTGCAGGATAATTCACAATTTCGTTTGAATTTTCCCTGCAACGTTTTGTGTAATTATGTCTATGGCAGGCGTCGAGAATTAAAAGCGAGTCGCTGTAGCGCAATGACAATTTATGAAGAACTCCCAAGTAGTTAACATCGACATTGAGTTGGGAACAAGTGACTAACCACGACCTAAAAAAAATCAGTTATAATACAAATAACAAATAAAACTTTAGCTACCTTCGATGATGATTTTTTTCCACCATTTGAGCAATTGGATTAAATAACGGTATTGAAATATCAAAATTTGTCCTAAATGAGTATCTATTGAAATCAGCTCCAGCTATCAAAGCCTTTCCTGTTGTTAAATCAACAACTGAAGAAAAATCTGGAGCATTTCCAGCTATCATATTAAAAATGAGATGGTTCTCTCCATTATTCCAGCTAAAAAAAACCTTGGAAAACGGATGTCATAATAAAAGACCGAGAGGAAACATCGATCAAATTGGGATAGTGATATCGACATGTCAGTGCTACTGACATCAATGGAAAACAATACAAATACTGTACACCCAAATGTTTTTCATAGTTCAAATACACAAAGAATTTGTAAGGAGGAATATCAAGAGCAATACCTCGTAATCTGGATTTTCGCAGTTTTCTTTTTATACTTCAAAATGTAAATTTATTAACTTTTATTACAAGTAATAATTTGAATAACAATGCCTAATTAAATATTATAAAAAATAAAAGATTACTATCTTATGCTATTAACAAACTGAGCTAATATCGTTTTAGCTTGGTTTTTGGCGAATCACTAAAAACTGTCATTTTTCACTTACGAGGTAATGTAATGTGACCCTCAATATTAAGTTTCAAGGTTGCAAAACACTGCATACAAACAAAATATTTAATCAAAGAAATTGTACAAACATTTAAGTTAACATATCAATTCGAGTTTGACTCATAGCACAGTGATTAATTTACTGAAAAGACCCAAATCGCATTAAGTAAAGTAAAGCACTTATTTAGAAATGAAATTTTTTTGACGACAAATATACATTTTTATATGAAACCATATTAAATATAGATAAAATGTACGTAATAAAGTATTTTCTGCGATTTAAATCCATTATCACAAGTATGTTGATTTCCTAAAAAAAATTAAATAAAACCTATAAAAATCCAAATTTATATCTTCCTAAACAAATTTTCTAATCTATGAATTGTTACCGATAACTCCCTGCAGTTAAAATTAAAGTGAAGGTTAAATATTATCAAAGTGGCAATAGTAAGAAATAATATTATCAAGGAAATCTGTGTCACGTTGAAAAATAATCGGTCAGAAATTACCATCAAATTCCTGGTTAATTTAATTTAATATGAGCTTAAATAATTTTCTTTTTGTCGAACGTGAAACTTTCTGCAAAAAGCATTTTATAACAAAACTGCATAATCGCAACAACGGATATTATGTATATCAAATTTTATAAGACTTGAGAAAATAATGTGTCCTAGCATGAGATTTTAAAAATAGACTCATGCAAACCCCTTCTAAGAACAGTAACACAAAGAACATTTTCATCACGCGATAACCGTCCCTACTGCATGGTTAAATATTTACCAAAGAATTTGTAAAGTAAATTAAAACGAATAATACGATTTGAACAAACCAATAAATCACTTCTTAATGTAATGATTGCCAAATCCTGGCGCCTCTTCTTGCAATAAAACATGTAAAACAGTAATAAACCTAATTAAACAGCTCAATTGCTCTGTTGTTGAACTTGAATTTAGTGCCTTGTTGAAGTCACTTAATAAAAAGCTTGCCGTATAATTAGAATAAAGACAAGGTTGTTTTGCGACATTAAAGTCGGTAATCGTTAAAAAAGTTATGTGCAAAGTACTATTTACAAATAAATAAAGTAATTACATTTATCTTGTTGGGAATAAAGTACTTACAAAGGCAAACTGCTTAAAGCCTTTGAGGTGAGATTTGGCCTAAGTCTTTCCTGATTCAAGGTATCTATGGATGGAATGAAAATGCACGCTTCGTGCGGATTAACAGTGTAGTATTTGGAATTGACCACAGCCTGGAGTAAAGCTAAATATTCCTTTGACATGAGTTCAGTTGCAGGGAATCCTTGCTCATCTACGTATTTTTTCGGTGGGTAAACGTAAACGGCTATCCTGTCATGACCCGTGCGCCCACATTTGTATATGTTGAAACAGTCCCAGTGGGTGCATTCTGAATTTCTTGGCAAAGAGACACTATTACTTATCAACCTAAATTCCGGCAAGTTTCTTATATTTGTCAAAGTGATCTTCTTAAAATTTGATGACTCATCACCAATATTAATACGTAGTCTCGGTAAAACGGCGAAAGTAGTTATGATTAGTACAATAAACACAAGAAAAAAGAAATTTTTGTATAAAGAAGTATTGTGGGTGTAGTTGTACACTTTTGATATTGGGATTTTTGTATGTATAGTCATTTTAGAGTAAAGATTAGCACTTTAGTTTGATGCGGCCCCTCGTCAAATACATGGCACAATTTATTTACTTTGAGATTTCGCTACACTCGCGTTATTTTAAGTCATGTTTAACACAACTTTGACGTTTCACTAATAAACATTATTTCGAGGTTAGGCGCATAAAAAAACAATTGATCTACTCAAGATTGCAATATTTACAAACGAAAACCCCTACGTAAAATAGATGACATCTCTTGACAAGTAAAAGAGCTACATTATTACAGATTTCTACCTTTCAAACATTTAACTTTTTTTATTAAAAAACTTATTAAAAGCCCATTATTTTTTTATATAAAAACTTATTACATACAATACATTGTAATTAAATTAAATTGTTACACAACAAAGTACTTTTATTGTAATCAATAATCTTAAAAATAGTCATTATTCCAAGAAAAACAGTTACCAGAAGTTTTTTCTTTACAGTAATTAAAAATTGAAATAATCCTGCAACATAAAACACTTATTACGCCTACTCTACTACTCATCTCTACAACACACAAAATAAACTGCAGCTAAATCTCTAATGATCTTTCTTTTTTGGTTTTTTTGGATTCCTAGACCTAGATTTTGCCTTGCACAAAGGGCAAATTGGTGCATTTCTGTGAATCTGTTGATGGCAGCTCAAACACGACTTCATAGGAGGTGGTTGTTGCCTATAAAAACAAATTATAAAGCATAAAAAATCATCCCATTTTATAAATAACTAGAAGCCTAGTAGAGAATTTAGAGCACCTCAGATTAATGTCCGACCTGAATGTAGGAGTGGGTCCTGTGTGAGGCGAAGGAGCCAAGCTTCCAGGGCGTCCAGGTTCTGGTTTGTTTGTGACTAAACGTAGGGGATTTGGTGGCGGTAAAAATGTTGGTGGTAAAGGAGGTGCCAAGGAGCTAGTTGAACTTTCATTGGGGGCTATTGGTCTAGTCCAATCACTAGATTTGTTGTAACTTTGTGATTGGGTTTTGTTTGAATTGTAAAGCTGAGAAAATCGCCTAGAATTTTGTATTAAATTTGTAATTTGAGGTAAATGAAATCATACTCTGGTGTTATAGCTGAGCCTTCCTCTTCGTGAAGCTCAGGCAGAGGATCTAAACCTAAACATTCCCTTCTTAATCTGTCTATTTCATTCTTAAGTGGGACATAATCCTCATGTAATCTAACAGCATAATTTAAAGACCTAGTCCTGCTCTCTTCTGACTGCTTAATTACTCCTTCCATCTGAAATTTCATCGATTTGAAAACACTTTTTTCAAAAAAAATTGTGACTAACAGCATTTATATCTGCATGTATCTGCCTCAATTCTTCGACATGTGACATTTTTTCTTGTAATAACAATTCCATTTCTTGTTTGTATTCTGAAAGACATTTCTCCTCTTGATCTTGAGACTCAATTTCAAGTATAAGACGATTTTTTATTTTCTCGAGTTGTATTGTTTTAGCCCTGAAAGACATTATTGATTTTTTAGATAAACAGTATATAATTTGCGGTGAAAAACATACCGAATCTCTTTGACGGCTTCTAATTTAGCATAAACTGAACGTTCATCGGTTGTAGAAGTCATTTTCACTACAGAATTCTAATTCTATAATTATTGTTTACTTTTAGATTCTGGTTGTTTTCTCAACCCCTTGTGGAAGCCATTTTGCTAACGACAGGACACAATCGTACTTTATTATCCAACTTATTAAAAAAAAAACTAGATTAATATAAGTAGCAGAAATGCAGATCTAATGTACAAGTTTTATTATTGTCTTTTTATTTAAAACTGCTAAGTGAGAATAAAAAAATGTAGTTTAGTTACTTTTACTTTTAGTGATTTTACGTCATGCGTGTGACCTGCGTTTAGTGGTTTAGTACTCAGAACAGAACCAGAATTTGACATAAAGCGATTTGTTCAGGTTCTCAAAAAATTGTTGGTGTTTTGTCGAATATTTAGTTTTGCTGTATATCAACGGTTCTAACGAATTGTTCTGTCAGTCAGTAAGAAAACTGTCTAATTTCTCAATTAGTTTTTAAAGAAGAATAATGAAGAATCAACTCATTACATTATTCGTAATTATTAGCGTATGTCATGGACAAAGTCATGGTAATTTATTGGCTTTTTCTTGTATTTCTATGTTTCTTCAAGTGGTTTTATAAATTACAGGCAAAGCGACCACTAACAGTTCTATTGTAATCAACAATCAGACAGATCCAATTCCTCCAGTCACTGAAATTCCACCAGGTCCTTCAGGAAATCATTCAACACCTACACCACCTCCTAACTCAACTACAACTTCAACAACTCCAGTAACCCCTACAAGTAAGTACAAAAATTTAAATAAAGTTGTGCCACTCATATTCTCAATTAGATTAAAAACTATTTTTGTCTCTTCCTGGAATAGAGTCTTATAGAAAGTTTACTCAATATCTTATGCAGGGTTAATGATATATTATTTTCAGGGTCATATAATATGAGTAATATGTTTTTTTGATACAGTTACTATCTTTGTTTCTTGTGTTGTTTATTGAAATTTAATTTTTAGTTGTTGTAGATAACAATAAAACCAGATCTTATATAAAACATTAAAGACCTTGAATATGTTAATAACGCAATAACATAATAAACTACTGTGAACTGCATTTATCTTTTATAATGTTAATTTGGAACAGTGACCTCTAACCTAAGTTTATATTTTTATTGTTACATGACGTAATAATTATGTATTAGGGGTAAAAAAAAGGTTTTTTAGTGACTTCGCAGAAGCGATTAATTTTCTTGAATTCATCGACTTTACAGGAAATTGTTTCTTGTTTGGTACAGTAAAACAGTTGATTAGATAACATTTGTTATTTGTTTAGCTGTGACTAATTATGGTATTTGTTATGCAGCTACAAATGCGACAACGACATCGACAACTACAACTACTACTGTTCCGACACCAACTACAACATCAAAGCCAACTACATCAACAACTGTTTCCACAACTTCAACCACTACTGCAAAAACAACAACAAAAACAAGTACTCCCACGCCATCACCTTCCTCAACTACAACAAAAGCAACCCCAACAACAAAATCGCCAGTAACAACAGCAGCTCCTTCTCCAGCAAATAACCGGAAATTTGATGGTCCAAGTTTCGTTGGTGGAATTGTGTTAGCATCCGGGTTAATGGCCATAGGGTTTGTCGCTTTCAAATTTTATAAAGCACGCACCGAGCTTAACTATCATACTCTGTAACTAGAGTTTTATGAAGAAGATAATTAAAAAAATGTTTCTATTGTTTTATGTGATAAAATCGAATTTTATGTACTCTCTTAGTTTATTTCTGAACTCATTTTTTTCGAAACTTTAGATAAATGTTTTTTTTTTCTTTCTGTTGCGTTCATTTAATTGTTTTCGTGGATCAAAAAATAGTGCAACTCAAGATTTTAATTCTGTCCGATAAAAGTGCTCTTAATAGAGTAGTTTTAAAATTACTCAATTGAATTAATGAGGGTGCGCTAGTCGTAAGGTCTAGTTGAATACATATATTTTGTCAACATGTTAGGGGCGCGCCATGTTATTGTTTAAGTGAAAGTGATATTTTTGCAAAGGTTGTGCCCCCTAGGTCAGAGTAAATTATATCAGTGTAGATAAACGCATAGACTAGTTTTTGAAGTATAGTACACAGTGTTTTAATTTGGTGCACTTAATTTCAGATAGCAACGTTCTTCATGTTGTACATTACGTATATTATCAGGCTTTTCTCAAATAAAGTTTGTTTACTTATCTAATTTTTTAATCGATAAACCTTTTAATGGAAAAAGTGCCCCTGAGGATCGATGTACTTATCTCAAATCATTAGCTGAAGCGAGGATGTACTAGACTAAGATCAGTTTAGCGATCAGGGGGAGTCATGATTGATTACAAGTCGAGTGTAGTTTTTCTTGGAGTTGACTGACAGCGCGGTTTGTTGGACGGCTTTTTCACCAAAACCTTCGGCATTTTCGGGCTCTTGAAAAGCACGCGGGCAAATTGCTAAATTTATCAATAATTTTTTCCCCATTTCCGCCGCATAAAACGAACCGACGAGACCGAAAACAATTCGAAATGAACAAAGGTGAATTTGATGTTCTGACGGAAACGGTCGTCTCCAAGAAGGAAATCCGCCAAAGTCGACTTTCCGCATGATAAAACGCAATGGGGTTGTATTCTCATTTTTGGCGACATCTCTTTTCAGTTTTTCCGTTTTTAATAACACAGGGTACGAACTGTTGTCTCTCTGGTAATTAAAGGGGAATGTCACTTTTCTAACGTCTAATTATCAGATGGAGATGTAAAGTTTAATTAACTTTGGTCGCATTTCGACGAGATATATTATAAGTTTGAGAAGGTACAATAATTTCATTTAGTTTTGTCATAAATTCACAGCGAACGGAACGGAGTTGTAACAACTTTTTCACTCTCTGTCGCAATTGAATATTATGGAAATCATGTAAATGTTACATAAAATTTCGTTATTATTTAGTGTGTTTTCCTTTGAATTAACAATTTTACAGTTTTTTTGTACATTGTGTTTGTATTTAGTAATTAAAGTCTTGGTCCAGTAACAAAGAAAATTAAAGGGGGAAAGAGAGAAGCTTGTAAGCAGATAAAGTTCGTCATCATGAAGCGAAAATTGCGTAATTTACGAAAACGTATAATGACTTTCGCAGCATGAAGTCGTTAATCAAAGCAGACTGATTAAAGGACAAAAGTTGCTTCTTCTATCGGAGCTTTTTGGATTACTGTGGCCTAAATAACTAGAACGGATAACGTGAAGAGATAATTTCCAAGGCTGGAAGTACGCGTCAACTTCTGCAGCTACTCAAAGATTTATAACTCGAACAAGTTTTGACACAAAATTAATCATTATCATTATAAGTACCCCGGATACGTGTCTACTTTTACACTTTACTTGCAGTCAAGCTGTATTAACGTCCGTCGATGAAAATAAAACCGGATAGACGGCACTTGGTTATTTATCAAATTTATAAACGCCGCAACAGCAACTTTACAACCCAGCTTCTTGATGACGAAACTTATATTGGTCGTTTTGCAACTAGAACCATAACATATCTTCTATAAATATCTACTTACATCGACAAAATTTACCACCGAATTAAAGTCTATTGACGTTTGAGTGGTATCTCTAAGGGCGGCTTCTTGAGCGATTGTAATATTAAAATAGTTTTGTTCAATTGATAAAGCACGTCGTCATGGTAATGGTTTGTAGCCCCATTTGGTATTCAAACACACCATCCAAGCACGAAACACTTGTGTTGTTTCTTTGAGTCCTCTTCGAAATCTGTCGAGCTTTAATTGCATTAATGTATGCAAATGATTTTCATGCCAAGATAGATGTAAACAGCGGCGTTAGTGAGCCACGAAATGAGACAAGACATCGAAGCAGTTATTGGTGGTGCTCAAGACTCTCTTTTATTGCTGTCACAACGAAGCTCAGACGAAATTACCCAACCAAGAGATGCCATCATTAACGTCAAACCAATCAAGACCGTTTCGCCAACAAACTTCGCATTTATTCATTTGTTTAAGAAATAACCACATTAAAAACACTCCGGCAAATTGAAAAACTTTTATACCAAATTAAAAGAACGTGTCCAGAATCAAAAGACCATTACAAAATTTAAAACTTCTAGTATATAAAAAATATATCAAAAGTTAATACTTGTGTCTACATTGTTTATTTAACGGGCATAGGTGTAATGATGGCTATTATTCACGAAAGTAAAAGTAACGATTTAAAAAAGAGTCGTAGACGAGTTTTTTAATCACTTAAGTGAATAATAGCCATTATATTGTGTATGTACAGGGTACTGCATTTTGGATGTCCGAATAGAGAATCTCCGAAACTAAGATGTTTAGCTAAAAACAAGTGATACATTCTGGGGCTCATTTTTTGAGAAAATAATATTGGTTAAAACTGCATCCCGCTATCGTCTTTTGTTTTCGACTTACAGACAAAAGTTGACATTTTGGCGAAATCTAAAAAAAATCACATCTTCGTTATTATAGAAGATACGGTTTTGAAATATATACATTATCCAGGCAGTTTTTTACGAGGAATTTAATAATGTAGTTAACATTTTTTTTCAGTTATTGGTTTAGCCGTAATAAGATAAACTTGTATTTTTTTAAATGTAAATCATGCGGCTATGGCAATTTTGAAAGAAGTTTAATAAATATCTGAGGCGGTGGAATTTAAATACTTTTAAGCATACAGGGTGTCAATTTTAAAACTTGCAATTGCCAATATCTCTAGAACTAAAAAAGTTATTGAGAATCACTCAAAATCGTTTCGATAGTTTTTAGGGGGAATCAAAATGGCATGGTAAGTGACGCTCCTCCACCCACCCTTCAAGCCACAGCCACCTTAAGTTGAAAATTTTAAATGGCACGACCCTACTTGCGATACATCGTTGGAAAGCCCATAACAAGCGCTTTTCAAAAATGTCATACAACAGCCTATTTGGTAAAGTTATTTTTCCAATTATTCAAAAACGAAGACGTTAAATTTTCATTTTTTTTACTATATTCAAGGGTGGGTGGAGGTGTGTCACTTATCATGTCATTTTAATTCCCTCTAGGAACCACCAAAACGGTTTTGAGTGATTATTAATAACTTTTTCAGTTGAGAGAAATTGCCGATTGCAAGTTTTAAAATTGACACAGTGTATATGTACCAAATTTCAATAAGTTTTGATGAACAGTATTTTTAATATTTAACAGTATCCAAACTTTTTGCGACGCCGTATATAGTGGATTCATTCTTGTTGTGGTATCTCGCCTACATCATAGAGGGGTGTAACACTTGTAAGTTTAATTATGGTTAGCTTCGGCAGATGTCTGCACTGGCTTGTGTATTTGAAGTACGAATCGGAGCGTGGAAAGCTCTGCGGGTGACAGTTCTGTGAAAGTTTCACGACGGAAACGGAAGAAGTTAGGGTTGCTGAAATTCTGGAGAACAGTTAGAACGGAATCTACAGATTTTTTGTTTTAACCTAAAGGATTGGATTGTTCTGATTGTGTCACATTTTTTTCTTAATTAAAAAAGTTAAGTTATAAAAAGAAGCTTTTAACTTAAAATACTTTTACCCAAAATTACCGTAAATTATTTGTAAATATTTATCTTAATTAATTAGTATTTTAAGTCGATCTTTGCGAAGTTGACGTCAGTGCATTAAAGTAAATATTTTCTCTCTTTGATAACTCCAAGTTTGCTTCTTGCCATTCAATTTAATACTTTAAAAATGACTGGTATTTAGAGCTTAAGCGGTCGTTTCAAATTAGTCTCATTAGGTGCCTTCATAACACCAATTAAAAATTACGATGTCTATTTGGTTCTATACCCCAAACTTATATACGTAATGGACCATAAGAATATTAACGACACTTTGCCTAACTTTTCCGTACTCTCGAGAGAACTTTCAACGCTTATTGATTACAACATCTGCTATTATAAACTTAGCATTTTTAGCAAACTTGTTGCTACTCTATTTATCTATTTTTAACTTAAAGACAGGAAAATCATCACTGGAAAGAAGACACTAGAAGCGGAACTTTGCATTCATCATTTTCAAACCTTAGCGGTTGTCCAAAGTGTACGTTGGTGTAAAATTGTTCACATCTTAAATGCATAATTCAGGAGGAGCTTCGACAGTGGCTTTACCGGCGCGACAACACGTGACCAACGTTACGATTAGTTGCTAAAATAAAGACTGCCAATAGCCGCAACGATTTTTTGGCGTTTATTTCTTGATACTACTTTAAATTTTAAAAAATATAAAATGTAGATGTTTTCTAAATTAATGTTTAAACTCATTAAATTTACTTGCCCGGCGCCTCCACCATTTCACAAAAAGAAAATTTGAATTTGACATTGATCTCACCATTGAAAAACCTCAGTTTTAGCGGTGCTTTTGTTTCCATAATTCGTAAGCTTGTTCTTTCTTGAAAACGGTTTAATAAAGTCGGTTATGAATCCGCAAGACAAGCAAGAACCGTCGCGTTCACGTGCTTTGACCGCAAAAGTCCGTGCATAGCGTCGTTTCTACTCCCTTTCTGCTACGAATCCAATTTGTGGCAAATCAAAAGCTGCCCGTCATTCACCACGCAAACCGACACCAACAACCTCAAATGTTACAAAGTTTACTGTGTTCGCTAGAATGATAGAATTTTAATATTTGATTTGATAACGTAGAATTTGCTTTTAAGTTTATCAGAGTATAAACGATTAGAACAGATCTTTTATTAAGAACAAAAACGGTGAATTTGCAAATTTAAATTCTCTTGTTGCAAATTTTTGTTGCGCTAAATTGGCACTATTATTGTAGTTATTGATTTTGCTTTTACTGTAAAATTTTCACGTAAAGATTATGTAGCAGAAGCCTCAAAGCTTTAGATATTACACGCTTCACAACATTTCCATCAGAAATAGAGAGCTTTAGAGTTTCATATTAATAAATTACCGCAGTAATTACGCTATGTACACAAACTAAACTATTAACCAAGTGTAGAGTGCACAAAGCACATTTAAATCAATAAGATTGTAAATTAACAATTGATGACTTCACTTTTGTTAGTCACGCGACACGCAAACACAATTTATAAATCGTTTGAAGAAAATTGACATTGACGACGGATAATAGCAGGATCTAGGATTATACTTATCAAAAACTACCCTTGCTTGTCCTAAAGTGATTGCAACTAGTTTCGCTTGAGTGACGTAC